CAAATTAAATGTTTTTGCCAGCTACCCATCTCAGCTCCGCATTACTAAATCAAACCCATGTTGGTGAATTTTAACATTTTTCTTTCTCCTTAATATATTACATTAAAAAGCCACGTGGCCTATATAACCATAAAATAGCTTACTTATACCCCTAATTTTAGATGATAATTCTTTTTTACTATATAACTTGAAAAATATTCACAACATTAAAAAGCCACGTGGCCTATATAACCATAAAATAGCTTACTTATACCCCTAATTTTAGATGATAATTCTTTTTTACTATATAACTTGAAAAATATTCACAACATTATATTCCTCCTATGTATGACAGTTTACTTAAAGGAGATGCACATGTTCCTTATGAAATACTAAATTTTCTCACAAATTTTGTGCTGGTGTCTCTGGAGTCTGGAGAGGTGCCACTGCTTCCTCAAAGGGACATGGAACCTCAGACTCCTCTGGGTCCATCTTTCAAGATTGGGTTGGGTAATTTTCATCTAATTTTAACTTAAAGTGGAATGGATTGAATCCTACAAAGGCCCTGCACCTTACGTTTGATTTTAATATCTTGCCACAATGAATAGACTCTGCGAAGGGTCTGTTTTTCTCTTTCAGCATGTAAATAAGGGAGGTAAATAGATATGTAAGATGGACACTTAGTAGGATTCAAGGAAAAGACTTATAAGTGTTCCCTGGAAAGGGATTGCTCAAATGTTCTACAGTTTGATATTTTTATCTTCTCTGCCAGACATTTCTTGCTCGGTGCATGTGTTGTTTTCCTGATCTCTCTAAGCCCTTCCTTCTCTCCCACTGTAACCTTTCAAAGGGAACCAAGTTCAGAAATCCATGTCATTTCCCCAGGGTCTTACGCCCTTCGGTGCAGAATGTCAAGACACTCTGAAGGCAACCTGATGTAGCAGCATGTAAAAGGTAATTTTAGGGGATGGCGCAATTGTATCACAGTACCATAGGCTTTCCCTTCAGCATACACACCTCGACTGCAGTGTGAGGAGGGTCTCTTAAATCATTCTGCAGATGCCAGGAAGTTGATGTCCTGTCCCCAATCTGTGCTCTGCTAGTCAGGGAGAGTGTGATGAGCTGGGAAGGCACAGGCTAGGCCATCCCTTTTAGCTTGTTTCCACAAAGGAGTCAGGAACACCAGAATGCTTTCCACGTAAATGACACAGTAGCCCTGAAAGTTCTGCATACCTTTATGATACTTATATAACACTTAAATAAATTTGCTCAATCCATGCTTGACATGCCTATGTAATAGACATGGTGAATGTGTTACAAAATGACTAAAGGCGTGTTTTCTGTGGTCTCTCCTAGCCAGCTAATGCTGTGGTTACATGAAATCCTGTCACCTTCCTTGGTCTGTATTCTGCAGCCAGGAGGTGACTGTGGAGTTTCACCTCCACATTAATAAGGTTTCCCAGTGGTTTCAAAGCAATGGTCCCCAGAAGTCATGACGTCATGATATAACTGAACATTCGTGGCCTCTGCTTATTCCTGATTTTCCTAAGTGGTTTCCAGTTTGCAGGGCTGCAGTTTCTTAAACAACACTGAAATTAGCACAGCCCTGGATCACAGTTGATGAAAGCATGCTACTTGGGGAGTTGTACAGAGTAGTGTCTCTGTAAGGATCAACTTTTTTTTTTGTTTATTCAACTGAATTAAAAACTTGTATCTCACTGGGCGTGGTGGTGCACGCCTTTAATCCCAGCACTTGGGAGGCAGAGGCAGGCAGATCTTTGTGAGTTTGAGGCCAGCCTGGTCTACATAGTGAGTTCCAGGCCAGCTGGGGCTACAAGGGAGACCCTGTCTCAAAAAGCCAAAAACAAAAACAAAAAACAAAAAACAAAACATATCTCATGCCTGGCGTGCTGGCGCATGCCTTTAGTCCCAGCCATGTCATATAGTGCCCACAGAAGACAGAAAAGAAGGTTGGACCTCTTGGAATTGGAGTTATGGATGGTTGTTAGTCGCCATGTGGGTGCTGAGGTTCAAACCCAGGTCTTCTGCAAGAACAGCCAGTGCTTTTAACCGCTGAGCCATCTCTCCAACCCCACCAGTGTGTTCTTTACCTTCCATGGGATGCGTACATAAAAACATGCACCTGTCATTCATTGTGAGCGCAGCAGATCACAGCATGGCATTCGGGGCCTGTGCTAGTGATCACTGTGTCTTGGAGGAAACGGAGCCGTATTGCTGCTTTCCTTTTTCCTGGGATCGTCATGGTGCAACTGAAACACGATGTGTGTGTGTGTGTGTGTGTGTGTGTG